CAATCCTGCCAGCACAGGTGTTCAGCGGGGACCAGAGGACCTGGGCCCTGACTAAGCCGAGTCCCCTTGGCCAGTGGTTGTCCCACCTGCTTTAGCTCTCCCATTGCTGTGGGTCAGACACACTCACTGATCCGGTGTCTAGCCCATTGCTAGCTGAAAATGCGTGTCCAGAGGAAAACTGAGTGGAGGGAACATGATGGGTTAGTTATGGTTCTTGGGGCTGGGCTGGGTGCTTCTCTTCCCACATCCCCCATTTCATACATTCTGAGACAAGCATATAAGATGATAAAAACTATAAGCTATTTTTTTAAAAAAAAGAATATCAAGCATGTAAGAAAATAAAAACTATAAGCTATTAAAAAAAGAATATTGACACTTTAATAAAGTTTCCTTCAAGTGAGAATCTTAAAAACACAAGCAATCTTCATTTTAAGTAGAATGTGAGAATGGGGTATCAGTGTAGCCTGGGCAGCTATAGCACACAGCTGTCCAACACCCACTCCTGATGCCCACTCTAGACACCCTGGGATGATCTTAGCTTGAAGGGGAGCTGCACACCAGTGACTAAGGGAAGAGGCAAGCTGAAGAACAGCATGGATAAGAGGCCCTTAAGATCTGCTCATACCTGCTGTGTGCTGTCCCTACCCACAAGTTAGAGCACAGCACCCTTCTGGTCAGCATGGCTGAAAGTCTCAGCTATAGGTAGGTGGGGAACTGGCTTTTCACTACAAACATGGAGGCCTTGGGTCAGTATGTGCAGCAAGCAGCCATGGCTTATGTATGTTTTACAATGTGCACATTTTCAAATTAGAAATCTTTGGAAGATGATGGGTTAAGAAGTGGTGTAAAAGTGCAAGTCAGAAGGAAGACCATTTTGTGCACAGTGAGAGTGAACATCCGAGCAAGGGAACCATGTGCTGGACACAGACTGACAGGTACCACCCTCCCTGATGTAGCCCGGTGACTGGCTGGAGAGTTCTCAGTCAGTGTGTTCCCATGGGCAGCAATGGATCCCCATGGACACACCCCTGGGCCTTGCCCAAACTCTCTGGTAGCCAGCACAAAGACCTGCAGGCACATGGACCAGTGGAGAGGATGCTGAGGCCAATCACACGGACAAGGCTGACCTCCAGGAGGAGGGGCAGCCCCTGCTCCCTTCTGATGCCCTCCACCTGCCTGGAGGGAAAGGCCACATAGCATGTGGTGGGCTTCACACTCCTCCTGCACATGAGGAAGCTAAGGACACCAAACCCATTAGCCACACTTCACCCTGGCTGTCTGTAAGTCATGATCATATTATGGTCAATGGTACAAGAACACATCTTCTGCCTCCAAGGACAGGGTTCTGGAGGAGTAGCCCCTGCCTCACATGCTACAAAGGACTGGTTCTGGATTGGTTCTGGGAGGGGGAGGAAAGGTGCCATGTCCAGCTGGAAGCCACACAGACAGATGTGAAACAACATGGAGCTGACAGGCTGTCCCCAGCCAGAGTCCATAGGGACCAGGTGCACAGATGAGATGGGAATCACCAAATATTGAGACACATATGGGATGTGTAAACAGGCCATGCACATGGCAGCAGGTACATACAGCCCTTACCCCACCTCTAGCTCTGGTGGTGCCTTATGCAGTCCTCTTACAGATTCCCTTCAGCTGTCCTTCAAGTACAGTAAGACCACAGGAAGGCTAAGAAGGACCAAGGCATTTATAAAGGAAGGGAGAGTGAGTTGGACCCCACCTGGGGCTGTGCAGGGTGCTGCTCCCTGGAACTGATAGATCCTCATGCAGAGCCCTCACTGGGCAGGTTGTGCAGACCAAGGTGCTGTTCTCACACCATAAGACCCTCCACAAACACACTTTTCATTTCGACACACTCCTTTCAAGTCATACCTGCTACTATCTTTTTAATTTCAGCTGTTCGTTCCGTTGAGAGGCATATGGAAGAAAGGCAAAATAGGAAACTGTGAAAAGTCTCTCTTTCAGAAAGAAAAAAAAAAAAATCAAAGAATCAAACAGGTTTAGGTAACAGGTTAGAGAAACTGGAATAGGCTAGAGAAACTGGTATCAGAGACAACAATAGCAAATGTGGGAACAACTTTCCAAGTAACTTCCGAACTCCAGAAACCCAGTGTGCACCTTCAGGCTTGTGGGGCAACAGGCTCAGCCTGAAGCAGCCATAGAAGCTGCAGGCCCTAGCCTGCCTGGCCTGCACGGTGCTAGACTCAGATACTGTCCTGAAGCTGGAAGCCCTGCTGCGGGCAGTCTGGGCAAGAAGTAAACCAAGTCTTACCAACCCTGTGAGCAGCTCCAACACCCCCAAGGCAGGCCCAGAGGTAGCCAAGTTCAACACCCAGAGGTTGACCCAGGAGAGCTGAGCAGCCCACTGCCTGCTCCCCACACACAATGTCAAGAGGTCAGACCTCCCAGTATGGAAGCATAGATGGGCTGTGTCCTGAGAACAGGGTACGTGAGGGGGGGTGTCAACCTAGAAAGTAACTGGCCCAGACACATGTTGGTCACCAAAAACAAGGGATGGATGATCACCAGAGGGCACCTGGGAGGGCCACCACCACCTGCCCTACACAGGTAGCACCACAAGGAGAGAGAGGGTGTAAAAAGCCAAAACGAGTGCAGTTTGCAAGATTCAGAGTGAAGACAGAAAGGGCAAGCTTCAGGTGGGCAGGGGAGTAGTCTTTACTGCAGGCAAGCACAGTGTGTTCCTGGGCTAGGCACTGAAGGTTATTAGGATCATCACAGCCCCGAAGAGGGGCCCTAGGCAAGGCACGGTCTTTAAAAAAAGTGTTCACATCTGGGTGTACTAACACCCCACACCTGGCTGGCTTTAAACACCTCAGTGTTAGAAATATTAACAGGCCTGCTTTAAAATTAAAAAATGATAATTAAAAGCCATATGACAAATAGATTTTTTTTTTAAAGGAAAGACAGGAAGACAAAAAAATGTTCCTAGGAGGTGCCAGGAAGAAAGCTGGTGGAGGGAAACAAAGGGAGGTCACTGAAGGCACTTGCAGGGAGAGAAACTAGAATTAAAGGAGCTTCAGGGCACTGCAGGGCCAAGGACCACCTACCCTTCCCAACTTTACCCCAGGGCCACTCAGGAGGCACTGTAACCGGCCTTACCTTCCAGCTTACTACCAGCCTGCTCTCCGCCTGGCTGCTCCATATCCCTCTGCTCCGGCCTCTGTGCTGGGAGGGGCGCCTTCCCACCTGTGCACACGAAACTCAGTTTTAAAAAAACACTTGGGGGGGGAGGGAGGGGGGAGCAAGGAGGCAGGCGGCAGATGTTTCCTAAAATGACTCCATTGTCGCTTCTCCCTCCCCCATCAGCACAGTTTATATTCAACCTGATGATTACCAGGGAAGTAATAAAAAAATATTTAACAATCTCACAGGCTTGTGGCAGCGAGCCAATGTTAACTACCTTCACCAATTAAAATGCAGCCACCGTCCTAACTAGCTCTTAGACGGGCACTTAACAATGTGTTACCTGTCAAGCGCTCCACGCTGTCCCCCGTGTGCGCCCAGACACATGAGAACAGCGTGGCACCTGACACTTAGTGGTCTGGCAAACAACTGTGTGACAGATATTATAGTAGCTGTCAAGCCACCAGGCTCTTCCTTTTCCCCACCAGCTGCTGGAGGGGCTGCTACATTCTCATGCTAATCTTGTGAAATGAGAAGGAGACAGGGACAGAAGAATACTCAACTCCTTCTGCCTCCCCACCCCACACACACCGCAAGAGTAGTTTCCTAGGATAAACCCCAGGCTGACACCCACCAGGGTCGCTCTCTGTGGGTTTCCATGTGTCCCCGGCTGCGTTATGTGCAGCCTCTTCCCCTTCACCTGCCACCAGGGCTTTCTGTTCCACAGAGATTGCTGCCCTGGGCTGTGGCTGCACATTACTGTCGTCTGGTCTGGAGTCCTCTTGGACAGCTGGCTGACCATTTGCTTCTGGAACCTTCTGAGGATCTTTAGGAAGATCACCTGCTTCCTCCAAGGCCTGGGCTTGCTCGGGTCTCTTCCTAGCCTCTCCCTTCTCCGGCTCCCACTTGTCTCTCTCTGACTCAGGCAGAGGCGGCACCATCTGCTCCTTGCCCCCCGGAGCCTCTCCATCTGTGTGTCTGGAAGGTAGCTTGTTCTCCTCCAGCCCTTCTTGGTCTTGACCTTCATCTACCACCACCTTGTCATGAGGAATGGGAGGTTCATGGCGGTGGGCCTCACCCATAGGGACAGCAATACCTGGAAGGGCACAAGGACAGGTTGGGAAACTAAGCTGAGAGGGCTCCTCCTTACCCTTCTCAGGGAACCTGAACTAGACTCTGGCTCCCGATGGTGGGATGAGGGTCAACAAGTGCCAACACCCCAGGTCCCCAGGCTAGCTGAGGACTGACAATACCTCTTAAAGTTACAGGAGGAGCAGTATAGCAGCTGATTGGCTAAGGGGAATGAAAAGACGAAGGAGGAAGAAAGGCAAAATCTAGGACTGGGTTCAGGGAAGACACACAGCCTCAATAGTCCCTGCTAGCACCACCCACCTTGACCAGGACGATCGAGCTGTGCGGCCTCCTGCTTCTTCTTGGCGTCCTCTCCTCCAGGCACATCTACAGGGCCCTTAATCTGGGCCTGCTCCAGCTCCTCTTTCTCTGCTGGCGGCTTTAGCTTCTCCCGGCCATCTTCAGCTACATCCACAACAGGGTCCTGGACTGTAAGCACAGCATAGTGATCTGTGCTATGCTTCCGTGCAGCTACCCATCAATCAGCACAGGTGACTGGGTGGCTCTCCCCAGATCTGATGTTTCTCAGCCAAGCGGCAGAGACTAGGCAGTTATTTTTTTTCCTGCTCAATCATTAGTAAGTAATTATCACAAAAAAATAGTGTTTTTCATGTGTATACATAACAAAAATATGTCAAAATGCAATTTACACCGAACTGGGCACAGACCACTGTGTAATCCTCAGTCATGGCCACCAGATGGCGGCATGAGCCAACCACCAGGCCAAGGGTCCCCTTTGCAAGGTTCCTGCTCAAAATCCCCACCCCAAGGCCAGGAATGAGAGAGCCTTTAAGGAAAATAATATCAGGAATGTTAATTTGCAGGCCTGTGGGGGAAATTCACATCAAAAGGAGAACAGAAACAGAGGCTGCCAAGGCTGCGCCCTTCTACCTTCTACAAGTGCTATAGGTGATGCCCATACTCCCAGAGTCACGCAGCACAGGGACCAGCAGGCCCACAGAACTGGTCCAAATGGAGACAACTTTCTATGTGTTCTGCAAACATAGCAGAAGCTAAAGACCAAAAGTTGGTGAAAAATAACTTTGGAAAACAAAATCACTTCATCCCAGAAGCCCAAAGGAACCCTTGAGCCCCTTCCTTGGACTGAAGTTGCCCAGAAAAGGGAAGTAAGAGTACAGTGAGGTAGGCTCAGGCTATGCCAAAACCCATGGACCCAAGGGAGGCCAGGTGGGGAGGAGACACGCCTGGGCCTGTCATGTGCAGGTGGAAGGAAAACGGAAAAAGCTGCCTTGGCTTTAATCAGCCTCATAAAACTGACCTGATGTTTTAGTCTGGGGAGGCAGAACCAGGCATAAGGGGCCTACACACTGTTTGGAACTGAATGACCTAAACAAACTGGAAGACCGCACCTCCTTACTGGGTGACAGACTGGCTCACAGAAAGCAGACTGTGGGTTCTACAATGTAGCCAGGTGGTAAGGCAGGTGAAAATGCACTGGTCTCTACCAACAATTAACTTGTTCCCTTGGCAGGAGCAAGAAGCAACTGTAAATCAGGTCTTTCAGCAACTGCAGAGTTAAGGAGGGTAGGGGCACTGAAACGAAGGGAAATGCTACTCTCCATAGGACAGTCTGCTCTAAGCAGCAGCTTTCTCAGGGCTACTTCTGTCTGAGTCCCAAGAGGAGCTTGGTGTGGCTGGCAGAGTGTTCTGTGCAGGCCAGGGATGACCACGCAGGCAGCAACAACCACACAAGCATGGAACTGCCCTGAGGTCCCTTGGGAAACCTCCTGGGAGCGCTGCACCTGCCTGTAGTTCTAGCCTGACACTGGACTTGACAGACAAAGGATAAGAGGCTACAAGAGCTTCCTGGCTCACACTGACAGCAGCCTCGGCCCAGCACACTCTGCTGCTGGAGGGCAGCAGACACGGCTTTTCTCAAGATGTAACCAGCTTCTGGCTATAGCAAAACTTACCAGAAAATTTCAAAATTGGCAACTAGAAGACCCCTGTGCTCTGCCCATTTCCAGTCACAAGGTGACAGAGAAGCATAAACGGGAAATGGTACTGTGTAGTGAAGGGGTTCTGCCAGTCCCACAGGCCAGATCATGACTGAGAGCTGCTCAAGAGGGAAGGCTGGTCAAGATGGGGAAGAGCAGACAAAGGCTGGCACCTGTCCACAAATGCCTGAGGCAGCTCCAGCGAGGGACTCCCATACTCAAGGAGTGGACAGCATCCTGGTCATTTCAGTCCTTCTCATGCATCCTCCAGGTTGTCACCTCCATGGCCCACCAGCAACACTGGTAATTAGAGCCAGGAAAACCTCATATTTATGCTGTTCTCTGCCAACTCACTGCTGGGCAACAGCACAGGCCTTCAGCTCCTTCTACACACGAGAATGCACTGACATTGGTGACAAGCAACATGCTCACCGCCTATGGTGCTTCCCTGAGGGACAGAGGAAGGTTCTGCCTCACAGGTGGTGGGTGGTAGCTCCACTGACACCATCCTTCCCACCAGCCTTCATCGAGCGGCAGGACCCCAAGGCTAGTTGAGGCCTGGTCTTTGGGGCCCCTTTGAGGGGAAGAGGCAACCTTTCCAGCTGCATCACCCCATGCTTGAGACTGGCTTTCACCTCCCAGGAAAGGCAGGAGGGCTGGGTGGCAGACGGTGCTCCTCTGCCTCAGGGCAGCTGTGCTGGTCACTGGTGGTGCCTGCTGTCACTGAGTGTCTTGTGGTCACTGAGATGGAAATGGTCACCTCTGGCTGCCAGCAGCAGACAGTGATGCTCAAACATAGTCCCTGGCTCCCACTAATGAACTCCCACAGCATTTAGGGGCTCAGAAATCCAGGTTCTCCTCATGGGAAGTAGGAGAAAGAACCTGAAGTCTAAAAACCAACCCTTATTTAAGGAACTTTTCTAACAACCAGTACCTGTCCCTCTTTTTTTTTTTTTTTATTTTGAAGGGGGAGGGGTACTGGGGATTGAACCCAGGGCCTCATGCATGCTAGGCAAGTTTTCCACCTCTTTCCTGCCTCCAAAGTGGGGGCCCTTCTAAATCTGGCATTGCTTGTAAGCTGGTGCAGTTACCTTGGGTGGTGCCAGTGATGTTAGCTGAATGGCACCTTCTGAGGGCAAAAAAAACTGAACAAAATTTGTAAGAGAAATGAGAGGCCTGTAGAGCAAAGGAATTTTTAACACCTGCTCAGCAGGGCACAAGGAAGAGCTGATGGGATCATACTGCCCCAACTGAGGAGAGGGGAGGAGGGTATGATGGCAGGGTCTCTCCTGAGCATGTTTTGGTGCTCTACTAAGGACGCTTGGAGCCTTTTCCCACCTCCACAAGAAAGGTGCCCAGTTTCAGGCAGCAGTGGAGGCCAAGGCAGGTACTTGGAGGGAAGTGATGATAACGGAGCAGAGGACACCACAGTACAGCTGTGTGCCCCACTCAGGCCTAGGGTCACATTTGCCTCAGCACCACACATGCAGACACGTGGATGCCTAGCAGGTGCTGGCTCCACCCCACCTCACTGAAGTCCAGGTCCATTCTCCAGCTGGCCCACCTCCTCTCCCACCAAGTAGCACCTATGTTCACCTTGCTAGGAGAAAGGGACAAGTTACAGAGGACCAGTATGTGGGCCGAGGTTGTGCTGCCCAATGTGCAGAGGGAAGAGTGTAAGGACTAGGAGAGTAAACCAAGGGATACAGCAGCCTTCAAAGGAGCCAGGACACCAAAAAACCCTGAGACTCTGTAGGGTGCCATAAGGCACAGAGATAAATGGCTCAATTAGCCTTTTTAAATGGACAGTTATGTTCACAAGCTTTCACAGAGACTCAAGTCATGCTCGCTAAAGGCTATGCATAGAATCTGGCTGTACCTGCTGGTCATGAGTAACGCCACTGAGGGCAAGACACACAACTAGCCATACCAGGCCCTCACCAAGGCAGGCAGGTTTCATCTGTGGCCTCCACAGCATCAGAGAGACCAATAAACAACTCACACTGGTGGTATAGCTGACAGGCCACAGTTCCAGCTCTGAACCAACGAGGCAACCTTCCATTAAGGGGGAGGCCAGGGTGGTGAGAAAATGGAGAACTCACTAAAAACAGACGGTGTGGTTCTGAGAGGGGCCATGTGTGTTGTTACAGCCTCGTGGAAGAAATGGAAACCAGATGTGGCCTTGGAGGGCACAGGTGAGCAGGCGGCCTGCATGCGCTGTAGTGACAGGATGCAGCTGCTGGCCGTGACTGGAGGCTACACAGCACCACAGGGACAGGAGCCTGACACTCATTGCCAAGCAGGTCTGCAGCTCACTGAGATGGGAAACCATGTGGCATCCAATTTTGCTGGGATGGTACCAAAGTACAGAGGGCTGTAATGCCCTCCCCGTTCCTGGCAAGGGACCCAGTGCAACGCATTTAGCTCCTGGCTCACCAGGACACCACCTTTACCCCAACTAATGGTGGCTGAGAAGCAGCATCAGATTTGTTTCCCCAAGAGGGACTGAGCCAGGGCCATCTACTGAGGTGAGCACACATCCACCTCCTTCAGATGGACTTCTTCTCCTTCCAAATTGCTAAATTCACTATGAGGCAGTACACTTCTGAACAATCCCATTTAGTTTTTCTGGAGACCCCTCAGGCAGACCTTGCCTACTTTTCAGCTTTGTGACTGCAGGAAATCAGACAGGACCCTTCTCACCTGTCTTTGCAAACTTAGGAAGGCAGAAGTAAGCATGTACAGCTACTCCAAGCCCAGGGTGGTCTGGAGGTATCTACAGAGGGAGGGAGGAGGGTTCAAGTACAGGAATACTGAGCCCCAAAGATGTGGCAAAAAAAATCCAAGGATCCCTGTGTCAAGACTGTGCCGCCAAGTGCTCGGGGGGTTCAGAAAGCATGCCAAGTCCCCAGGGCCTCCCTTCAGTGGCACTTTTTCTTCTGTCCATTAAGGAAGGCGTCTCTAGGGCAGGTGTCACTAGCTTGCACCTCCATGTCAACCTGAAATCCACCAGTGAGGATGGCACTGCTCCTCAAGCAAGGCCACCCAGAGTTGCAGCTAGACAGATACTTGGTGAATCTGAGTCCAAACAACTCTGCAGAGGTGAGCAGGGCATGCATGGGTGCTCGATGACCTCAGTGTGAATGCATAAAATCCAACCATCACCAGGGACAAAGCCCAGGACAAATGCTACAGCAGACAGCACCACACCAGTGCTCACACCTGCTGCCTCTCAGAGCTGCAGGGCCAGCAAGGGGCCAGGATGGAGGGTCTGATGGCCAGAGGGCATCCCTGTGTGACCCTTCTCATCTGTGTCTGGAAGACCTGTGGGGTTCATCAACTACCTCAGAAGCACATAGAACTGGTATGAAACCCAGAAAACCACATCCCTGCATACCCCACACGCAGCCACAGATGGGGGTGAGAGGGTATCACCAGGACTCTTTCTGAAGTAGCCTGCAGCTGTGAGAAGTATAATAATTCTATGAATGAGACTGATAAACAACTATACAACAACTATTCATAACATGAAACAGGACTGTGTGAGACACAATTCATGGCTTTGTCACGGAGAAAACTGCTAGAAATCTTTATCTTCAAAACAAAACAAAAGAGAGCAGCACCCATAAATTCACAAGCCTGTCAGTGCCCCTACTGCACTGCCCCCTGCACACAGGTTCACATGCTGGCCAGCCCCATGTAGACAGCACACCTTTGTAGCCAAGGCTGGTGAGTCTCCCACCAGCTCCATCATCCACAGGATAGAGGCCATTGGCAGAGCCAAGAGCTACTTGGAAAATGCCACCTGCACCCCATGACCCTGAAGTGATACTGTGGATTCTTGCCCCAAGAAGACACAGGGGACTGGGGTGGGGCCTGTGTGCCTACCTGAGAGCCGTGCTGCCTCTGCCTTCATCATGCCCTCGGCCTCTCCCCGCCTGCCGTTGAGTGTTTCCTTCGTCAAGTCTGCAGGGGCCTCCTCACTCACAGAGAGGGTGGTAAGTGTGCTGACCACCAGGACGCCCAGGCCAACCCAGAGCACCACCTAGATGAGACAGGAACCCCAAAGATAGGAGGTGTCAGAGTGATTCCCACAGCCATGAAAACTGTCTTCATGGAGAGCAGAGGGATGGAGGGGAACAGGAGAAAAGAAGGCAGTGGCATGACATAGCCTTCCACAAAGGCAGGCCAGCTACATGCATCAGAGAAGACAGTCTGCTGGCCAGCAAAGCTGCTAACCACTAAGAGCTATAATGGAGCTCTGATGCATCATCACTTCTTAATCTATCAAAGCAGCGTGCTCCCATGTCCTCCTGTCAGTCCAATGGGACCACCAGCTGGGTCTGCTGGAGTCACAGTGGCAGTGAGGGAAGAGCCAGGCAGAGGGTTGGTGCTTTGGGAGCTGTAGGCATAAGAGGAGCCTCGAGAGGGAAGGGGCTCTATGTATGCAACTGGAGAAGACAAACAAGCCCTGACCCAACTTCCTGGGGGATTAGGTTTCTCTCTCTTTTTATTTTGTTTTTTATTTTTAACTTTTTTGAGACAAGGTCTCACTATGTAACCTAGGTTGGCCTGGAACTGGCAATCCTCCTGCCTCTACCTTCCGAGTGCTGGGATTATAGGTATGTACCACCATGCCTAGCTGGGTCAAGTTTCTTGACCATCAAGGCAGGAAGAACAAGAATCTTGGGGCAGGGCTGGAAGTGTGGCTCAAGCAGTACAGCACCTGCCTCATAAGTGCAAAGCCAAGTTCAAACCCTAGCACCACTTTAAAAAATAGAAAGAAAAACAAAGTGTTGGGTCCCTCTGTCAGTAACCACAGCTTCCAGTGACAGTAGGGCTGCCAAGGTGCATGTAGGGATGCCGTCTGACCTGAGTCCCCTGAGGTCAGAACCTACAAGCTTTATAATATAGCGCTCCTAGTCCAGAGATGATGGCACATACCCTGCCCCAAACTGTTTTCCTGAAAGTCTGAGGAGGCCCAGCTTCAGTTTTGTGCCTGAACATCACTATATTACATCCCTTTCACCATGAAGGAAAAACTCACAAAGCAATAATGGTGTCTGCAAGGTAAGCAAAATAGTCTTAAGATAATAAAACAGGAAGAAACTACCAACCTCAGAGGCCATCAGTTTCTGGGGCCAGCCAGCGGCAGGGGGAGAGTGGTGAGGGGAGGAAGGGAGGAAAAGCTGGACAGTCAGCAGCTGTCAGTGGGAGACCCAAGCTGGAGTAGCACTGATGCCACCACAGCAGGCAAACCGCAGAGTTCGTTAGGGCCTGGGTGACCCCCACTTTGCCCTTGTGGTCTGTCCTAAATCAAGTCTGCCTCAGGTCTTCTGTTTTCAAGGCCCTCCTGACCTCTAGCTGCAGCATTCTGCTTTATGATACAGAGCTGAGCCAGGCTCAGGTCACCAAAGGTGGAAAGTCCAGAAGGAAGTTTAACTCAACCACTGGAAGGGCCCTTCTAAGTCTGGGCACCCATCCCTGCAGGGCACCAGACCCAGTGTTTCAGAGTTAATCTCTAATCCCACGTTTGCAGGGTCCTGTGTGCATTTTGTTATTTCTCCAGCCAACAGCAGAAATGACCTGGCAGAAAAGCAAAAAGGAAAATGTATCTTCCTACGTACAATTCCTGTATGCCAACAGGATGATCACAAGACCTCAGTGAGAGCACATAAATGGGGAGGAAGTGCTCCTGCTCCAATACCACAGCAGGTTGTGGGGAAAAAAAAAAAAAAAAAGAGTTCCAGATGCTTATGAGGAGGAAGTCCAGGGGACCTAATGAGCTTTGTGTTCACCATCACCCAGGGGCCGTGTGTGGCAAACCCTGTCTCCTATAGGCACTTACGTGGGCCATCTCAGAATGCTTTCCACCAAAGATAAAGACATTTGTTGGTCAGTTATTTTCAGTGGGGATTATAATCTAACATTTCCATGGAGACTGACAAGCAAAGGCAACATTTCATCCATGACTTTGGATGATTTATCTCAACCTTCAGATTTTTGAGCTTAGCAAAAAAAAAAACCCACAACATAACAATAAAATAAAGTAAACAACTTTGTCGATTTTGGGAGAAAGAAGCTTCCTAAAGAGAATCATGGCCTGATTGTTAAGAAAAATAATACAAAGCATTCAATTGAGAAATGCTTGAGTAAGAAACTGGGCTGACAGTCAGAAGGCTTCTGAGTGCCATCTGCCCCTCTTGCTTCCTAAGAACAGGTGGGAAAGCCAGCTTAGCCCATCCTGGAACATAAAGAAATGGACTAAGAAGCAGCAAGTCAAGGTCAGATAATTGCTTGTGCAAGGTCACAAGACTGGGACAACACAGAGCATGTTCCAGAAACACAGTCTGTGCATAGGACCCAGAAAACAAGCCCAGGTCTACCTGGAACCTGTTGCACCTCCTACTGCAGGACATCCTAGAACTCCATTGAGAACTGACTGGCTCCCATTCCACATCAGGCAGCCAAGAACAGGACAAGAAACACAAATGCAGAGACAAACCCTCCTGGAAACCACAGAGCAGGCCTTGCATGCTTGGATGATGTCCCATGGATGCACCCCCATCTGGCTAAAGGTCTCTTGCAAGCTTCTGGCTCTGAGGGCACTAGCCAGCAGGCCACTCCCTATGCAGCCACCAGCCCAGTCAAGCCTTCAGAGCTGTTCAAATGTTAGAATTCTACATTCACCCTTTCCTATGAAGAAACATTGTGGGCCACAAGACCCTCGGCAAGAACTTCAGAGCCACCTGGCTTGAGGGAGCTATGGGAACACAAATGCTACATAGTAGTCACTAACCACTTCAAGGTGTGTGCTTGGTCCACAGTGACAGCCTGTGCAGTGCACACATACCAGTGTGCAAGCAGACAAGTTCTGGAGTACGAGGTGACACTTTTGCTTCAGTGCCAGAGCCAGTCTACTCAAAGCAGCATTCACATTGCCCTTGGACTGCTGAACAAGGAAGCGAGTGCAGCTCTGCGCTCCAGCAGCCAGCTGAGGCAGATAACTGGGAACTTGGGAGAGGGGCAGAATGGCTCCACACAGAGTCAGGCCCAGGGAGAAGCCCAGCCTGGCCTGTGAAACCAATCCAGCCCTAAGTACCATGTCATCTGGTATGGCTTGCTATGGCAGGAGGGTTGCTTTTGAAGCAGGGGACTTGGGTCAGTAAGAGGGATCCAGTAGGCCAAAATCTGCTTTCAGAGTGCCACTGTGGACTACGATTCTGGCATAGGTCCATCTTAACTGTGTCTAGAGCCAGCTGGGAGGGGAGGTGCAAATCCACTCCCTACATCTTGGCGTAGGCTTGGGAAATCCAGGGGTCTGTCTGGGGCCACAGTCCCCGAGGCTCCCACAATACCCCTCCCCTTAGGGGGTGGTCTGAGGCCACAGCTCTCCAAGAGATCCTGTCTCAGAACAGAGCTGGACCCTGGGAATGGAGGGAAAATGCTGCTTCAATCTGGACAACACACGAGTCCACACTCTGTACTTCAGTGCTAGCATACACCTGGAGGCCAGTCCCCACTTCTCTGCATTCCAACACCTCAGTTCAGGTCCCATGCCCAATTGGGTGTGAGTGTCCAGGCCCCCAGCCGTAGGCAGCTGCACTCTCTTGGCTTCAAGACTGAGGCCAACTTGTTGGTAGCTCATGGCTCTGCGTGTATATGGGCGTGTACCCACTCACACCTTCCAAGAGCTGGGGCTTCTTGCCCTGAGGCCCCTCTAGCTGCCCCTTCCTCTGTCCCCTGGGCTGGCCTCCCTAGCTCTGGGGATCTGCTTCTTCTGTGAGCACATCTCACCTGGATCCAGCGCCCCCTGCTGGCTTCATGGCAGCAGAGTGTCAAATCCACAAACTGGACTAGGCCCATCTTCCTTAAGACTGGAGAGGCCACTCTCTGATTTCCAAGATAAAAATCATAACTCCTGAGAGTAGTTGTCTTGAGGTGGTCTCAGAACACTCCTTCCTTTGCACACCCACCAACTGCCCACCACGCATGTACCCATATCTTCTTCTGCTCTTCATGAGGTCTGTGAGCAGGAAACAAGTACCACGTAGCAGAGAGGACTCGGATGACCAGAGGTACTAATTCTGGCCTGTCCCTTCTGCTGGAACAGCCAGAGTTCCTGTGACAAGGCTGGCCATCTGGGAGGGCCCCAGTACCAGTCACACTCTTAAGAGTGTGTGCCTCACAATGTGAAAACTACAGCATACCTAGTCAGCCCAGTGCAAAGCAGCACAGCAGGTGGTGGGGAGCTCCCCCAAATACTTATTCAGAGGAAGAACTGAAGTGTCTCCTCAACACTGTCAAAAAGTAGTTCAGACAATCTGACCGAATCCTGGAGGCTCATGCCCATAATATCAGCTACTCAGGAAGAGAGATCAGGAGGATCTAGTTTCAAGCCCAGCCTAGGCAAAAAGAAAGGTGAGACCCTATTTCAAAATTACCCAACAAAAAAGAAGACTGGTAGAATGACTCAAGTGGTAGAGCACCTGCCTAGCAAGTATGAGGCACTGAGTTCAAATCCCAGTACTGCCAAAAGAAACTAGTTTAGACAACACACATTCCAGATTTTTAAGAAATGTAGTAAAACAGGTCAGTCTTTGACATGATGCAGTGTGGGTTCCCTTGTACATGCACACAGAGCTGGAACCATGCTCACTCACACCAAGCCAAGTTGCCAGCATTAAACTGAATGGTCAAACACTAGAGGCGGTCCCAACTGAGCAGAGATGCTGACAAGCTGCCCACTCACACCAAAGGTGTCACAGCAGCAGGTGCCTGATGACAAAAGGAAACAACGGTGGGGAAGAAGGAAATGGAATTATCATTAACTGTAAGCAAAGGACCAAGAGATTCCATGAGTGTTCAGTAAGGTGAATAGGTAAGAAAATTAACATGTGAAAATCCACAATTTTTCTACATACAAACAACAACCAGTTAGCAAAGTCAATGGAAGAAAAGACCCTAGCACAGGAGACACAGACAGGACACAGTGTGGAAAAGGGCAGAACAGACAACCAGCAAGGACTTGTGAATAGTCAGAAG